CCCATTGGACCTTAATGATTAGGATATGTCTTTCTTGTACTTGTTATGTTTGTACTTCGTCCTACTTGGTTGTTATGTTTGGAATTGGTTTGTTCTAGGTTGTTATGTTTGTATTTGTAGTAACTTTGTATGTTTGATAAAAATTGCTACTTGTTTGTTTGTTTCAGACACATTTGTACTTGTTTCCTTGTTATGTAATGAATGTGCATGGTGCATTTTACCTAATGTACATATGGTCAATAGTTTAAGGAAACAATGGTAATTTGGTTAGGTTAAGGGAACATGTGGTCCTTGTAACATCACTGAACACATGTGGTCCAATAATTTGGTTAGTTGGTTGTAGTCCTTGTATAATTTAAAGGGTAACATCAGTGGACACTAGATCGTTTAAGATATTAACTTTAAGGGTGATATAATAAGCAAAATAATATTAACAAATTACACAAGCATTCATGTTAAACAACATGTTCATAATTTAATCCAAATGACCTTGATTACAACTTGTACATAATTAAACCACAAAAAAAATACCCAACTACATATTAGGTCGACCTTCAACTTAAACACCTCGGATTGAAGCTTTTTCTTCGACCTAATCAACACAGTTATGATCACACCTTCATCGTTGCACTGCATTTCATCAACCAAAGCTATAAAACCTGAACAGGCATCCTGACCAACAATTATGTGCCTCAAATAGTAAATGTTAAGAAAACTAGGGTTAACATCACAAGATGAACAAACTGTAATTTACCTTGGTGGGACATGCATAAAAAGTCTTTCCTGGGTTATTGCTAGTACGCGATCCACATTCCATGTTCTTCATTGTCTACCTTGATAGTCGAGAGTATTTGATAGAGAAAACAAAGTGAGAGAATGAAACAAGCAAGTATAGAAGAAGCTTTTGACAAATTTCTAGTACGTGGAAAAGACTAAATTACCCCCACCGTGCAAGGAACGTGGGGTTCATTAACACGATACTCTTTCCTTCTTCCCACTTATAATGCAATGTTAACGTATTTTTTCATCATAAAATTTAGAAAATAACATGATACGAAAACACTTTGAACAACGAACATGTTACTTACAAAACGCTTGTCATCAAGACATGTCTTTTACATTTATCAGTGGAGTTTCCTAGAAATCATCATTACCATCTTCCAAAAGGTTTCTAGAATATTCTAATAAATCTCTAGGAATCAATTAATATTCTAGAATTTTAATTAATTAAAACTATTTAATTAATTACCAAAATAATTTCCAATTAATTTATTAATTCATAATAATAATATAATAACTTATTTTTCTCAATTTCCTTATCGCTAATTGTATAATGATGACAATCCAATAAGACTTTGTTGTTATTTAGAAATATTTAGTTAATGACCTTAAACACTATCTCCAAGACATGCACTCGGATTGTCTTTCATGTTAATCTTAGTCGCATTATATATATATATATATATATATATATATATATATATATATATATATATATATATATTCTATTATGGGCTTATAAACAGTACCCAGTGTAACAGCCCAAAAATCCAAGGTAAAAATTTCACTTTTATTATAATCAAAATACTATTGTAACTTTGTTCTAAACATTGAAAAGCATTTCAATTAAAACAATTATCAGAGTCCAATCCCAAAGATCACATATTGCAGAAAACACGGGTGTATGCGTTGCGGTCGTCCCGAGCTCTTTCATTTGAAAACTAGAGTGCTTGAAACATCAACTGAAAACCGTAAGCACAAAGCTTAGTGAGTTCCCCAAATACCACATACCATACATATCCAACGATCCATACATGTCATACATAACCGTGAACCATACATATCATTCATATACCATAATCAATAAGTGTGTTATGTGCCAACCATAGTCTTGCCATTATGCCACGAGCCATCTCGTGGTCTTTCTTTCCAAGTTGGGGGCCACAACACTGGGTCTTACAGACAAGCGCCAAAAGCCACCTCCTGGTCTTCCACGCAAGCATCACAAAGACAACTAGAATACAACTATACTAATTAACTAATTACTTGTCAGAGTTCAGACCCTAGTCTTGCATACAGTGTGCCAGGAGACGTCTCCTGGTCTTTCATACATAATGCCAAGGGCTAACCCTCGGGTCTTCCTATAATACATAAACCAAATGGGCCGACATTGATGCCTTCGACCCGTACAACGATGAGGAGACTCACCTCGAATGCTGAAGCTCACTGCAAGAAATCATTAGTTGCTGCCTTGACAACTTCTCGAGCTAACGATACCAAAATATCACCCAATTAGAAATTGGGTTCCAAACCATGATCTATAATCCATACTTGGGGTAAAATGACCATTTTACCCATGGCCCAACAAGATTCATAACTAAGGCCCAAGCCCAAATCCAACAAGATCCCAAACCACAAAATCCATAAAAGCCCACTAATGGCCCAATTTTCCAAATTGGGCCCAATCCCATACGGGTCTTATCCTAAGCCCATATTTTACAATTCAGATTGCTTCAAACACCCCTTGGGACAAACTTGATCAAAGGCATAAATCAAAAGTCAAAGTCAACGGCCCAAGTTGACCCAACTCGCCGAGTTGTCCTTCAACTCGTCGAGTTTCTTCATTAGACTAAAAAGATCGGGCAAAACCCCCTCGCCGAGTTCACCAGAAATCCAACCTCTTAATTCATTAAGTCGACCTTTTCAAAACTAAGGGCTTCTCAACCCAAATCTTAACTGAAATGGCCTCAAGAAGGGTAAAGTTTCCAACTTTACCCCTAAGAACCACCAAAATGGGTTCAAAACCCAAACCCTAAACTTAAAAGGGTAAGGACTTAATCATTAAGCAATTATTCCACAAGGACACAACTCCGAGATGCAGATCTGACCATAAGAGGCTAGATGGCCATGTAAAGTTTCCAACTTTATACTTATTCATGATTAGAAGAAGCTCAAAAGCTTAAAAGAGACCAAAAGAAGGACTTAATGAATGCATGAAGCCCTTAGGACCATAAAGTTGGCACCTTTATGCCAAAAGAGCTCATGAAGATCACAGATTTGGAAAGGATAAACACTTGGGACTTCTACTTCCTCAACAACCACCCATCCATGGCTAAAAGCATACAAATAAACCCAATAAGAGATCTAAGCCAATACTAAGCAAGATTAGAGCTTTATACCCGAAATGTGCTGGAAATGGAGCAGAGAACCAAGATCTGAAAGCTCCTACTTGAACCACCACCTTGCACCAAGCTTCTCTTCCTTTAATGAGCCTTAAGCACACCAAAACACACCCACAATGAGCTCACAACACTCAAGGAGGCTCTAGGGTTTCGAGATTAGGGTTAGGGGCTATGGAGGCTGGAAATGAGGCCAACACCTGGAACTTAAGGTGTTTAAATAGGGTGCAAAACCTTAAAATTAGGGTTTCCTAAACAGCGCCCAACTCGTCGAGTTGGCTCCTCCAACTCGCTGAGTTGTCTCATTAACCCCGCGACCAAAACAACCTCTACTTGTCGAGTTAAGGCTCCTCAACTCGTCGAGTAGACCCATTAAATCCTCACGATTCTTCATCTTCAACTCGCTTAGTTGGTTCCTCCAACTCGCTGAGTTCGACTTGAAATTGGTATAATTCCACAATTAACCTTCTAAATTTTGGATGTACACCAGTCATATATATATATATATATATATACATATATATATATATATATATATTCTATTTCCGGCTTATGAACAGTACCCAGTCAGCTGGGTATTGTTCATCGGCCTAGGGGCTAAAATGCGCTTAGTCATCGACTTCCTTTCCCACCGTCGATCTCAGCCAATCTATTTCTTCCACACATTACCCGCTCCTGCTTCTCACTGTCATTGAACTGTTGATATTATATTGCATTGGGCAATGACAAATCTAGTGTAATGGTCTTGTATGTCAATGCGGTATGTTCACTAGTTGAACATCAAACCCTTTGTGAGGTATATTGCCTTATTAATTTCACAATAAATTGTAGTGCATGACAAATCGCCACATAGCTTAGTATATATGTAGTTGATGGTTGTCGAGACCAACAAATAAATAACCATATGTTCTAACACAAATAAAAATGTATAGTGACAAAAGGGATCGAATCTTCGGAGATTGACTCAATTTGTTTATCTATTACATCCTTTTATAAAATATATTTATAACAAGAATTAAATAAGGGGGTTAGTTGGTTTGTTTATAACTCTAAAACAACAAGTTAATAATGTAAACGAGTGAGAAAAAGTAATGTTGATGTAAATCAATAAGGTTGGGATAGTTAACATTGGAATTTCATCATATACATCCGGACGTTTCCTATTAATTTGATGATACTAACTTCTAACTACTAACCACTCATGCAAAAGAAAGAAAGAAAAAACAATTTCAACAGTCATCAATTTCTATATCAACAAAATATATGTTTTCCAAATCATCATAAATATAAAGTAAATCAATAAAAAATAGTGAAATACAATTGAATTCTCAAGAATATCTTAAGACACGGGGATCCTAATCCTAAGCTAGTTGTTGGTGCGAAAGATTGTTTCTAGACAATTTATTTGAACCGGATGTTGTATCATCAGTAGGCTGAAAACTCTTCAACATGAAAGAGTGGGTGAAGAATAGTGTTTTACACCGCATAATCTTTGGGTTCTATACACTTGTAACATATCGTCCCTAACATGCCTAAACTCTAAACTCGGATTTGCGTAAATAGTAGGTACATATCGAGTTGCCAATCCAATGATGAGACAAAATTAAACAACTTTGTGTTACTATGTTTCATAGTACCCTTTGCAATTTATTTTATTCGGTTTAAAACACAAACACATAGATAGATAGATAGATAAATAGATAGTCATATTTCATTCGGTCTAGCTACTAGCCTACTAGATCATAAGGTGGGTTAAAATAGTAAAAGACTACTTAAAAAAATCAGAAGTGTTATTAAGAGGTCATTTTTTTTTTACTTGGAAGTTGAAACCAAGTCCATATATACAATACAAAACCTTTGATTGACTTGACAGGCACAGGCACAGAAAACCGCACACTTGTATCAAATACAATACGTACAGTGTACTCTGATCAAATGGCACTGAACCATGCCAACAAAACAACACAAGAAAACCAATATAAGTGTTGTAAAGTTTCTTATATTTCTTTACAGGCAAAAAAGAGGTTTTTGTTGATGGAGTAGATGCCCATGTAGACATAGTTTTGGAAATTTACAATTTATTTCAACATGTTGGTTTGTAGGCCATATATGGAATCATTTGGCTTTGCTTTAATTTTGCATTCAAAACAACAAAACAAGTGATGATCTGTTCATACAAAACGTTTCTTAAATAGTTGATGTCTCTTTGCCGGATCCTTAGGCTTGCTCTTTGCAAAACCTCCCTTTTGTCCACTCCTGCAAACCAACCAAACACACCACTTATATATATATATATATATATATATATATATATATATATATATATATCACAAAAAGAAAAAACCATATAATTAATAATTAAATAGGCCACCAAACCAACCTGAACTCATGATAGATATTTCGTTTAGCTCCTGACATGGCACTCATGGACCCCATCATACGCTTTTGTCGTGCAATGTCATGATCTGTATCATCTTCAACTATTTCCAAGCTTAACTATCATCCCCAGCACTTAACACCTATTATATACATATCATATCATATCAAATAAGCATATGTATGCTAAGACACCTACTCCTCATGCTTGCTTCAAAGTTATACCAACAGCAGAAATTCAGCATTAAGTCGAGACCTTGTTAAGAAGAGAAACTTGGTCCTTGAGACAATCATAGCTCAACTCTGCCCTACTGTCTGGTGGAGGCAGACTTGTTATCACCTGTTCAAAAAGAAGCATCCAATTTTATTTTATTTTTTTGAATAATTAAAACACTAACTATATAATGAATTACCTTAAAACTATAACCTTGATCGATCAAAAATTGCTGCCTCTTAGTTGAGTAGTACATTTCCTACATCATTATTCATGGTGTTTGTCAAATTAGCCATCGATTCATAATACGTTTTTCAATAATATAATACTATATTATTACCTACCTGTGTATCTGTAGATACTAGGGAGTAGAAGAAGGCATTATATTCCTCTTTTCCACCTGCCATTCTATCCTGCACACGACCCTACACTCCACATCCGCATCCACAAAATATAATAATAGATTATAATTTAAGGCCATTATAAAAAAGAAATTAAATAAATTAAAAACCTTAGCCCTGAGAATACGGCCATACGTTGGGCTTCTTGACGTCTGGAACCAGCATGTGATGAAATTTGAATAATTACATTTGCTTCCGGAATATCTATTGAATTATCTCCCACCTACAACAAACAAACATTTAAAAAAAAAAAAAAAAGACCACGTAACAAACATTCATTGATTACCTTTGACAGGAATACAGTGTTGACTTTCTTGCCGGTTTTGAATTTATCCAGTATCTTTGTCCTTTCAATATGGCTGCACACCAAACATAAAGTTTTTAAATTTAACATGTGCAAACGAAGATAAAAGGTTGCCTTTTTTTCTTTTAAAATCAAAAATATATGGACCTTGTGGCACCATAAATCATTGGTTTACCAAGCTTGGTTGCATACTCGGTGAGTGCAAAAAGATTGTCAGCAAAAACGATAACCTTATCATCACGTTGTTCCGCATGGAACCAAATAAGAAACTCACAAGCCCTAAACTTGTTAGGGTTCATCACATATAATGCCTGCATAACATACACAATTATCAACTACTATTACTATTGATTCTAATAAGATCATACATACATACCTGTTTCTTCTTGGAATTTTCCTGTTTTAGATATTAAGCAAAAAACTCTTTTGTCATTGGACACCACACTTCAGCACATTGCACATTTGCAATGAATCCTCCTTTAACCAAATCCAACCAATTTGCCTCGTATAATTTCGGACCAATAAGAAAATTCAAATCCGTAATCCTTTCATCCTCTCTAACAAGTGTAGCTACAATTTCATTTAAAAAAAAAATTCCCACCTCAGACAAAAGAACGTTAAATCCTTAGTAGTATTTCAGAAGCATACCAGTAAGCCCAAGCTTGCAGTGAGATTTAGTGATGCTAATAACTTTACGAAACATATGCGCAGGTACCACATGCACCTGAAATTAGTTTTTTTAGAGTATAAGGGTAAAATGATCATTATTACTTTATTCAAAAGCGGATGTACCTCGTCCATGAGTAGCAAACCCCATTCTCTACTTCTTATTTCTTCAATGATTTTTTCAGAGTCTTGGGATCTTTTACCACCAAAAGCAAGCATGTTGTATGTGGTGACAACAACTCCAGCATTTCCACAAAACCTTTCTTTACTATCAGATGTAAAGCGACATATATGTTCATCACCAATGTTTGACCATAACTTGAATTGCAAAGCCCATTGGTCAACAGAAACAGCATTTGTTGCTAAACAGAGACAGCTCTTTTTAATCCTGCAGGCTGCAGAAACCCCCACTAAAGACTTTCCAGCACCACAAGGTAACACAATGATCCCAGACCTTGCTCTTCCTGCAGCCTCAACAAATGTTAAAAAAAACTCTCTCAACAAATACAAATATTAACAACTTTTTCTAATCAGTGTCTAATTACCATTTCCAAACATCTTACTAAGACTCTTCTCTTGATAAGGTCGTGGTTGTGCTTGAGGCTTTAATTCCATCTCAACATCCGGATTTATCTGCGCAATTTGCTTATGAGTAATTATCATTTAATTGTAGAAAAGACTGACTAAGAGGTTGGTTGGTTGTTTCTTTTTCACAGCTAGCTATACATGACTGTTTCTTTTTTACTTAATCTGGAAAGAACGACTTAATGGGTTAAGTCAAAAGGCTTATGAAACCAACCGTTTACCTATTTTCCCTTTTTATTTTTCCCACCCAACTCCTCTGATGTTAAAACTAATGAATATTGTTTAAAACGATGAACATTGTGAAAACTGTTTGTTGGAATGTATGGGTAAAAACTAACAGTTAGTCTGTTTACAAATCACATTGCATAATGAACCAAGAATGTCTGTCATACAAGTATGAGAGAGAACTAACAGTATCATTGCGAAAATCATACTCCTCCAACATGGGATAGTTTAAAGCATTTGGCAAACACCTCTGCTTTACATTTTCAACCTGTCAAGTAATTAATTTTCTTCAATCAATGATGCAATAAATCTACAAATCACTCTTCGACCTTTTTTTTTAAGTGATCGATATAAATAAGATGAACTTCATCAGAAACGGATACTATGTATCATATACTATACCTGAGCGGGGTCAATTTCAAATGAATGAGCTTCTTTTTCTTCAGATGCAGCTGCCAACTGTGCTTCTGTTAGCAGTTCCTCATGTCTACCTTCAACTTCACCTACTGATCTACTAACAGCAAACCCATCGTCACCCTGAATGTGAGAATATACAGAATGATCAAGATCAATCCCTCGCATAAAACAACATTAAAAGAGGAATAAGAATAATAGCTACAACCTCGTTTGAAATCCGCGCTCGAGATATGACTTCATCACTTAATAATCTCTTCAATACCTGCAAACACCAATCAGATAACAGAATTAATAACTGAATATTTGAATATCCACCCATAAACAATCTGTTGTTTAAAGATTAAGAAAAGAATCAGCAGTCTTGCCTCTGGGAAAGGAGATTCAACTAGGTAACGATTCTTTTTCAGTACAAGCTTTACTTTTCCATAATTGGATGTTGAAGCATGAATGAAATCGATCATCTCTTTAGGGAGTTTGGTCTTTGAAAGCTTGTTCAAAACAGCTATTATGGTTTCAGTTTCTAGACCCACTGACACAGCTGCATAAAGTGAGTGTGGAGTCAGGTTGTACTCATGCATCGACTCTGGCCTATATATAAGCACAAACACCCCAAACATGAAAGATCCATCTCAGATTTTATATATATACTGATAGTTGAGATGCAGACTTATCTATATTACCTGCAGACAGGTTCTGCAATTGCAATTAGAAAATCATAAGCTTGTTTATACAATGGAGAGAAGGTTTCTAGAAAGATCCGGCCATCTGCACAAGCCCATAATGGCCGATTCACATGATCTGCTTTAAGTTCCAATTTGGTAAAATCTCTCTTATTTCCTTCTCCATCACCTTATACAAACAAACAAAACATTGATTTATTTAGATATAAAAGATATCGAATCACTATTAATTACTAATAATTAGATAAAAATAGCATCGTGATCATCCTCACCAAATTCTTCAACATAATATGCATCCTCCTCTTCAAAAGCTGCAGCTTTATAGTCCTCCTGTCATGTGTTATAACACGCATACATTAGCCGCGACTAGGATTACTCAATCTTTCTAGGAAAGGTTTCATTGACTTTTGAGTACATCTTTGTTTTCTCATGTGAAGCTTGAAGTATAATCTAAATGTTCATTGATATGAGATACTCTATTTCAGTTATCAATTCATCAAACATAGTGAAACAGTAAGACACTTCCAAAATACCAATTGAAAATAGAATAATCAAATAGTGACAATGATGAACAGAAATTTAACTTCTTTGTAGGATTAACAGTTCATCAACTCCAAAATACCGATTGAAAATAGAATAATTCAGAATTTCTTCAGTTCATCAACCACAATGAAACAATTCTCCTACCCAAAATAATAAAATCAATTGATGATAATACAAATTACAAATTCTTTTTGCGAACAACCTTGGCTGATGACTTGTGCTTCTTGCTAGGTCTCCCACTTGTATCACCTGTGAGCAAACACATAAAGAGTTAGATTAGTAAGATTAATTTTCGCATTCATGCACACAAGCTTTTGTGTTTTGATTGCGATCCTTGATTATATGTTGATCGTATATTAGGGGTTTTTTTCTAAATTAAATCCGAATATAGCGTGCCCCATGATCGTTCTTAGATTTGTCAACCGAATCAACAATTCATGTGTGCGGATTAGGAGACGATGAAGATCTTTTCAGGTAGTATCAGGACCGGCCAGTGGGCAACCGGGCGACAGCGCATAGCACACGTCTCTAGGGCCCAAAAATTATGGGTTCTGTTGCGTCTATATATATATATATATATATATATATATATATATATATATATATATATATTATATATATATATTTTATTTATCTAAATGTTTTTAGGGCTTAAAGTTTGTCCGATTAGCCAAAAAGATAAACAAATCGGCCTGCTTGCTATTACTAGTTGAACGCATCTGCAGTGAAGAATAGGAACGGCCGAATCGTCAATGAAGGATTCAAGAATTGACTAATGGTATGTTGCTTTCTGCCTTTCCCTCTCGATGCCTTGAATCTTCACGATCGACTTCATCTTCTGCTTCTAACCCTCGTTTCTCTCATAAGCTTTCGCATTCTCCTTCTGCTTCTCAGTTCTCACTCTCGATTCTCTGTTGATTTTAAACTAGGTAACGATCAAAATAGAGATTATTGTGTTATGCGCGGTTCCTTATTTTCCTGCATTTCTGATTAATAAAAACACTAACACCAATCCGATAATTAAGGCTTCATTTGTTATACAGATATACATTTCAACAATATAATTTCCTATAATAATACCTGTATATTCTTGAAATTTATATTCTGATTTAAATGATTTTATTCCTATATTTAAGGCATTACTATTATATATATATTAAATGGCACATTTTTTTTGTCAATTTTGGTACTCCGACTTACAACAGTGACCCTTCATCTTTATGCTTTTGTTCACAAACAACCCTTTTACTTTGGTTTGAATTTTTCATAACTCTCGCCTTTTATTACATATTATTAGTATTTAGTCTTTTGGCAGAAATGGTCCCTCATCATTATTATTATTATTGTTAGACAAAATTACACGATTGGTCCTTGTGGTTTACCAGATTTAACATTCTCTTTTTGGTTTTAAATTATTGTTTTATTTATTAGAAAATATCCACCCAATACCATAAACCCACCCACAACTGCCATCACCACCACCACCACCGCCAAAATTACATAAATGGTCCATATGGTTTACCCATGGTGACAAATTCAGTCCCTACTATCTGAAAAGACCAAATTACCCTCACATTAACGGATAAAAAGCAACCAACATGCTACTTTACTTTACAAAGCAATACCTTTCGACCCCGGCAACGTCGGGAATCTTTTCTAGTTTCAATTAATACAGTCTGATAATTACTTTGTAAAACAGGAACATATCTATAGACTATAATGATTCCATAACCAGTCAAATTTCTTAAAATCAGAAGATAATTTATCAGGCATATCATATTTTCAAATATTCATACATTAATATTAGTATTTAGTATTTTTATAATAAATCTCAACCGAATGTCATCTTTTATGTTTTGCTACTTATAAATAACATCATTATCAAAAAAAAAAAAGTTCTCGCCTTTACCCGAATTCACTTTCACGTTTCTAGAAAATATCTAATCACGATTTTGCAGAACATTAAAAAAAAAAAAAAAAAAAAAAAACTAGGTTTAAATCCACCTGGTTGGTAAAGTAAGAATATATAGATTTTAAAAATATAAACATAATTTGTTTGTCCAATAAAAAAAATATCATAACTTTCAAATACATCATGAATGGTATAAATGTAAATTTGTATAATAAAGGAAGCCTTAATTATCGGATTAGTATTAATGTTTTTATTAATCATGGCGTAGCGGTAAGGAGTGACACTATCAAACGAGAGGTCATGGGTTCAAGTCTTATTAGTAGACATAGGTGGTTTTAGGAGTAGGTTAGTTTGTTGGTTCAAAAAAAATTGCAGGAAAATACACAATGGAGAAGGGCAATTTTGGAATTATACTTAGATATTTTAGGCGGGAATAGATGATTGGGTAGGGCAGAGCTAATGGCATGTGGCAAAAATGCACATATTTATTAGATTAGAAGAGAAGATACTTGCTACTTGTGTGATATCTTATAAGAATGCATGATTTTTCTTTCTGAAAGCTTATATTTGTGTATCATATTTTTTTGACAAAATTGCAAAAATGGTCCCTGTGGTATGTAATTTTTTGGGGTTTTAGTCCAAACCACGACTTTTTTGGATTGATGGTCCTTTTGAGGTAGTTTGCTTGTGCTTTTGGTTCTTCGGTAAACTGAAAAGACTAAATTGTCCTTATTATATTTATTTTCCATTTTTTTTCCTATAAGTATTTAACTATTTATATATAAAAAAATAAAAATAAGGGCCCACATTCTCTCTCTCTCTCTCTCTCTCTCTCTCTCTCTCTCTCTCTCTCTCTCTCTCTCTCCAACCAAACGATTTTTTTTTCTGATTCCTTCAGTAACTAGAAATGGATCTGAGGATTTGAAGATCAGACCTTCAAGAATTCGAGATAAAAAGATCCATTCTCACCTCACCCCTTCACCAATGGTTAGTCTGCTCTGAAACCTTTATGGATGGAGAAGATGAACCTTCAGGAAACCCACAACCATCATCTTCCCAATTCATCTGCACTCAAGCCACATATACCTTTGATAGATAAAACACCTCACCCCAAAACATCTTCATCATCTGGTTTTCCTGATCCAGTTGCTTCATCCAGTAACAACACCTTTGATTTCTTCACTATTGCCCTAGTTATTGTTATCTGTTATTTCTTTAGCAGCTTCTTCAATCTCCGAAATTGAAGAATTAGGTTTTTGAATCATTTGTTTTCTCGTATAGTGTCAACAAACAAAGCAGGTTCTTTACCGTCGATATCCCAGAACCACTCCTTCCGAGTCTCCGACGAACGCCACCATGGTTCCACCTTTCACCTTCAAACAGAAATCCCTCAAAGCTGCATCTTGTTAGGTTTTAGAATTCCTTCGTGAAGCAGAAGTTGACCTCTTGACATTAAAATCCTTTCATGAATTAGAAGCAAGGTTGAAGAAAGAAACTTCGGATCTAGAACTCAGTTGGCATAATATATTCACACCCTTCAAAGCTGCACCTTGTTAGGTTTCAGAATCCAAACATGTGTGTGTTCATCCGTACGTATGTATGTGTGCGTGTTCATTTGTATGTATGTGTATGTATGATGTTTTGGGGTTGCAATCAGGTCGTTTGGGTGAGAAGATGAGTTGGGGTGGCTTCGTACGAGAGAGAAGAGAGATGTGGGCCCAAATTAATTATTATTTTCTTTTTCATTTAAATTAAATAGAAAATACATAAACAATATATCAAAAGGGCATTACAGTCATTTCAATTTTACGAGGGACCAAATTTACATACAAACATGGCCAAAAGGACCACGAAACCAAAAAAGTCGGGGTTTGGACTAAAACCCCCAAAAAAATGCTTACCATAGGAACCATTTTTGCAGTTTTGTCTATTTTTTTTCTGATTTTTGTTTCTGAATTATTTTCTCATAATCTCATTCTACGTTATATTAGATTCTTGTTTCTGAAATCTTATATCTTTTGATTGTATATCAGATTTTTAAAGTCCTTTTATTTTGAAAAAGTAAAAATCATTGTGTAAGTTTCAGAATTTCCACTCAATTAGTTATTATGTTTGTAGTCTTTTGTATGTAACTGTATAATGAGAAGTCTTATGTTCCAAATTTTTATTGTTTTGCTTTTGACTTGATTTTTTCAGAGTTTCAACTTCAAAATATTAGATGTCCCACTTGACAAGGTAATATTGTAATGTGAATTAATTTTTTATTTGATTTTAGTTATAATTTTTATGACCTTTTTACTTTAGAGATTGCTTTGATATCATGCTTCCACAAGATACTAATTTAAATGAGCATTTTAAATTTGTGGATTGTTACCCAAATATTTTTATTGTATATAGTATCTTAGTAACCATTCATGTTATTGTTACATTTGTATTTGTAGAAAGAAATTTTCAAAGCTATTGAAGAATTACCTAAGGTCATAAATATTACAAGAAATGTTGAATGGTTTGGTAATATTATGAGAGTCACGGGATTTTGATAGCGCCACATCTAGCTTCTTCAAAAGAGATTACGGATACAGAGTGGTTACAAATAGAATATAGAATCCGGATCCTCATCTCCTTCTCGCTTTAGTTTCACTCTTATCTCGGTACATATAATTTAAATAAAATTGACCTTGATAGCATTATCAATGGTTTTGCATCTAAAAAGGCTAGAAGAAGTATTTTTCCTTTAAATTTTTTGTTTTTTTTTGTAAATATTGTGGATATATTTTATGATATTATCAATAATTTTTATAAATGGTATTTTTGTCTAATCATTATTATATTTGACTTTGAGGGGTTCTTTTTTTCTTCTTGTCCGGGGCCCAATATATGTTTAGATCGGCCATGAGTAGTATAGTAATGAGGTAATCGCTGACAACTACATGTTATATACTTATATGGTCAAGTTTTGTTTGGCGGATGTACGGAAGAAAAGAAAATAAATTTGAATAGAATGGAAAAAAAAAAGCCCTAATAAGCTCCTGATTTCAGTTTTACGATTGATTCAGAAAACCGTTAATCGGAGCTATTGATTTAGCAAACGAGAGCATGAAACTTAAGATTATGCACTTCCAAATTTGAAAAAGAATCAAGTCCTTTTAATTATGTTTCCAAAGCATTTTCATTATGATGAGAGATTGGTGAGTGGTAACTACCATCTCATAGGAAGGAGATTGGTGTGGTGTCTTGGAACAATATGGAACATACTCTCATCAAATTAGACAACATGTTTAGAGATGATGATTTTGTTTGTGGCAAAGTTTAGACACCGGAAGCCACGATGTTGAGATGGACACCCTAAAGAAAATGCAGTGTGTAGAATGAATAATTTTTTTCCAAATTCCAAAATTATTCATCAGATTTCGAGCTTGTTATTAAAATTCTGGAATAGTTAATTTATGTATGAAATTCAAAATATCAATACGGAATGGGTAGGCAGTACGGAATGAGTGGGTTGGTGGGGTTGGGTAGGGGTGAGCATCAAAACCGGGTACCCGCTTTTAGAACCGGAACCGCCTCGGAACTGCCGGTTCCGGAACCAGAACCGTCTTAGGCGGTTCCGGTTCCGGTTCCCGAATTTATGGAACCGCCTTAAGCGGTTCCGGTTCCGGTTCTCAATTTTTTGGAACCGCTACCCATTGGGTACCCGCCAGAACCGTTATATATATATATATATATATATATATATATATATATATATATATATATATATATATATATATATATATATATATATATAGGGTGAGGTTCAATAGAGAACTATAATTAACCAAGGAACCAAGGAACCAATCTTTTTTTCAACTTTTAGAACTTATTTTTTATCAAAAAAAAAACTAAAAATACAAAAATTCATAACTTTTTATCCTTTTTCCAATGATATCAAATTCGAATTTTTTTTTACGTCAAATTCACAATGTGAATCTTTGAAAATTCACAATGTGAATCCGGATTCACACGGTGAATCCGAAAAATATTTTTCACATTCACAATGTTAATATATGAATTTAGATATTTTTAGATTTTTTTTCGATAAAGAATAAGCTCTAGAAATTGAAAAAAAGATTTGGTTTCTTGAAGAACCAATAATTATGGTTCTCTATTGAACTTTTTTCTCTCTCTCTCTCTATATATATATATATATATATATATATATATATATATAGAGAGAGAGAGAGCGAGAGAGAGAGGAAGGATCATTTGAGAACTCAAAGTTTCCCGAGAACTAAATAATAATCGTTAGATTAAAATAATAGAGGGTTAGGATGCTTCGTGGCACTTTCGTAAATATCTGAAAATAAAATGGGGCGGGGGCATCTTATTAAAATAAATCAGGGACATTTAATCACGTCAACTCTTTATGCTAGCTCTCTCTCGATCCTCTCTCTCTCTCTCTCTCCCCTTCATCACACCTCCGATCTCAAATCGTCGGATTTAAAATCCTGAAATCGTCGTCGAAGTGTGATAGGATGTGAGTATAGTTCATCGGAACATCTACAATGAAGCATTAGGTCGGTCGTTTTCTTCTGAATCTGATCTTGACTTTTCGATTTGGAGAAGATAGTCCTATCGAATGTCCAGTTGGAGTGGAATCGATCATCTACAATGAAGCATCAGGTCGTTTTTGTCGATCGTCTCCCTCCTCCCTTCATCGGCGACTGTCAATCCATATTTATTGATCTTCGGCGGTTGTTGCATCATCTCCACGTCCTCCACGGATCGATCGCTTATTGACTCTCCTAATTTCCCCCAAAATAAACACCACCGTCCTCCAGATCTGAAATTAATTGTTAAACCGTAATTCCTTGTCGTCTGAGTTCGTTTCCAGCCTGTCTTCAACCTGTTATACACCGGATTCCAAGCTGAATTTCTGTCCGATCATCGGAATTCGAAGCCATCAAGGAATAGCTGCCGCCTGACATCTCAACCGAAGAGTAAGCTGCAAGAGGTGGAAGACGATGACAGTTACGAAAACGAGACAGAACGGTAGCGGTTACAGACGCGTTCATACCACCAGAGAAACACTTCAATTTCATGTTCAACTTCTCCAATCGTATTTTTAATTGTTTTTATGTTAATATTTGTTGTAATGACATTGAATGCTAATCTCCTCGGAACCAATCAATCAATCAAGCGATCAAGTATCTCAGTATTTTGTATTCTAACAGTTTCATAGCACAGTAACAAATGACTGGAGGATTAGTTTCTCCATGGATTATGGGTACTTTTCTTCCTTCCTCATCCAAATTCTCTACATCGTCGCCTTCTCCGGCTATTTGTGTGTGTCGATCTCACTTCAGAGCACCAAAAGACCTTAAATTTGTTCTCCATGAGGCGCCCGATTCTGCTGGATTCAACACTACCTATGCTAAAGTATTTCTTTTCTATCAATTCAATCTTTTATTCCCATTGTTTTCTTATACTATATAATTATCCTTCACATCATTTGGCTTGAATTTCTTTTCCTTTTGTTATTATATGTTTGAAAAATCTGTTCGTATGGGATCTGTTAATCGTTAACAGTGTTCTGTACCCCTGATAGGTGGCAATTTTCAATCAAAAGTCATTTTTTACAAACTTGAATTTGATACAAATTAGTAAAGATTGTTGATGTCTTAACTAAGTTCATACGGGTTGCAGAAGTTCTAGGTTGGATTCTCAATAGTCAAAGTCAAATATATGATTGATTTTATGATGTGATGAGTATTAATGAGGATCTGTTACATTCATTTGGTTACTTGGGGATAGAGAATTGTCTGAATGCGATGTATTTCCAACAGGAAGCAAGAGAGGGTTTCTGCTCATAAATTCAGAAGTTGCCTGGAATAGAGAGGGAAACAAGCATAATCATCAATAGAGGAGTAGACTTGCGGAAAACAGCTCTTTACATAGCAGCAGAAGATGATTCACTCATCTCTCACTCTTCTGTACCACTTCTTGTGGATGCTTTTATTGACAGATTAGATGATCTTTCTATGGATTACTGCTCACGCTACAGTTCATCATTTAGATCATCTCCTGATAATTTCCTTGAGTGCCTAGAGAGATACATGTATGTTGACAAGGTATATCCATCCATTCATGCTGAAAGTAAATTATATCTTTTCTTTATAAATTGAACCTTCAATTTTTGATTTTTATTTAGGGCTTTCAGAGGAGCAACTCGAGGAATCAGTTGGAGCAACGAGCAGTTTATCTTAATTCAGTAAAAAGACTTGTTTGAAACTTTCTACTATTTATAATATATCTACAGGAAGACTAAGGTGTTATTGTGTGATCATGTTCTGACTCATCGTGTGGGATCAATGTGTATGCTTTCATTGATATATTCTGAGATCTTGAAGATGCTTTGTATGTGGGGTCTTGTAAATTTTGATGTTGAAATATCTTCACCAAATGATTCTTATGGTTCTCCTAGAGGCTATCTGAAACAGAGAAGTACAGAGTCTGATCATCAACATATCATGACAACTGAATCACTATTACTGAAGGTAGGTTCTGTCTTTTTTGTTGAGATATTCACTTGAAGGTTCATCTACTAATTTTCAGTTCTTTCTAATGTTAGTAACCACGTATATCAATGGTATAATTAGTGTATGGAACTCTGACTTTTTCACTTTTTTTTAAACTTATCTATCATATTGGTTAAGTAGAAGAAAATCTGTAAATATATTTTTGAATTTATGCATATTACACCAGTCTTTTTGTTGATTTGGGAAGTCAGCCATACTATATATATATATATATATATATATATATATATATATATATATATATATATATATATCTATTATTTATATAAGTTATTAATCTTTTATGCAGATTTTGAGAGACTTGAAGCATGCTTTTTGGCCTTTTCAAGTTGACCAAAGTAAAAGCCCATTTCTAAGAGCAGCTGAGGCTGCTAACTGCTCTAATAGATCATCATATATTGACAAAAGGTCTCCCTACTCTTTCTCTTAGATAATAGATTAACATTTCATCATATGATATGAATTCCTCAACCTTGTGTTTTTTTTTTGTATAATCTGCAAAGGCTGCAAGGCATAGGTTAGAACGTGGTGTTTGGACAAGTGTTCGGTTTGGGGATATAAGGCGTGCACTCTCTGGTATGTACTTTTTTGATGAATTCCATGTCAATTTCCAATTCTAAAATCTGTACTATATGGCTGGATGGAATGGAATGAGTCATTACATTCCCCATTATCATGTTTGGTTGGCTTGTAGGAGTAGAATGGATTTTCATATAGCTTTTTAAATAATATGTAGATACAAGAATTTCAACATTATTCTATATATTATTTATTAGAGCGTCTCTAATTGGAGGCTATTCTATAGCTTATTAGTTATTACTATTTCAATAAGTCTTTGTTGAGCTTAATACCATTGGAGTTAAAGCATATTTTGGTATTTTCTTCAACCTCTTAATCTTTTACTGTGTTATCACATGTTACTCCATCATCTCAATATAATTCCCTTTTTGACCACCATATATAATTTCCTTTTTGACCACCATATTTTACTTTGCTATATTTCACTACTTGGTCTGTTTTCTTTAAAAATAGAAAATGAATTTGAACAATTTTTATCGTCTTCTGTTTATTAAAACTACATACTTGATCAATATTAAATATGACATGTGTCCAAAAACGATAAATCAGATGAGGTGTATTTATATATATTTTTAAAAAAAATAGATGGAGATAAATATGTAATTGTTAAAAGAAACGTTTGAAAAAAAATTTGTGTTGGAGTTGATATGTAACGATAGGCTTTTTTTAAATAAATTTGGTGGAAATTTATGTGGCAAAAATAGTAAGCTATAAAAAAGGTTAACCATTAAGGACGGCATAGCTATTATGACTTATTATCTACAAAACTAGAAAATCAAACATAATAAAAGCTCATTAAAACCCAAATAATATTATAATAAAAAACACTTTCTATTTATTTTTTAGAAGATAAAATTGTAAGTTATTGTTAAAGTCATAAAATTCTTAAAAAGGATTTGCGTCATAAATAAAAAAAAAGGGTTTCATTCCACACCATGATGGAATAAAAAGGAACACCCCCTGCCAGAATGAAAATTAGCAAAATGGAAGGAATCAGATTCCCTCAGGAATGGTCAATTCCATTCCGTTACATCAGGCAATACACAAATATTTATTTAAATGTAGTTTGATACATGTCATTTATAATAGTGTGATTTGTTTTTTTTTTCTTGAACAGCATGTGAGCGGCTTATTATTCTTGAAGCTGATTGTATGGGACTAAGAGATTATGGTGCTCTCCTTTATCACTGTGGATTTTACAAGGAATCCTTGAAATACCTACACTTATATCAGGATTCACAGGTACACCCTACACCACCATATCAAATTGCTTCAAAACCCCTTATATTTTCCCTCTTCTTTCCAAAAAAAAAATCATCTTGTCATTTGTTGACTTTTCCATGAAAGCCACTTGAGATTTTAAATAATAGCTTTTTTGGAAAGTTCATAAATCTCAAACAACTTTCATTGAAAAATCTATGGAAAGTTAACAATTTATTTAAAGCCTTTTATAGAAAGTTACCAAATCTCAAATGGCGTCATATCATGGAAAACTTTTAATTAATCTTTAAGATATTTTTTGTTCCATCATTGATTTCTGATTCGGTGACCAATAAACTAATCCATTAGTATAATATATAAATGAAAATATAATTTTATTGAAGTATTTTGGTTGCAAACTTTACATATGAATTACATGTGATTCACATGTAAATCACATGTAATTTACATATGATTCACATGTAAATCACAAGTGAATCACATATGAATTACATGTGATTCACATGTAATTTATATGTGATGTAAATCACAAGTGAATCACATATCAATTACATGTGATTCACATGTAAATAACATCTAATTCACATATGATTCACATGTGACTCACATTTTAATCACATGTAATTCATATATGATTTACTTGTGATTCACATGTAAATATGAATTACATGTGATTCACGAGTAAATCACAAGTGAATCACATATGAATTACATGTAATTCACGTGTAAATCACATATGAATTACATGTGATTCACATGTAAATAACATGTAATTCACATATGAATTACATGTGATTCACATGTAATTCACATATGATTAATTTGTGATTCACATGTAAATTACAAGTGAATTACCTATGAATTACATGTGATTCACAAGTTAATCACATATGAATTATATGTGATTCACATATAAATCACATGTAATTCACATATTAATCACATGTAATTCACATGTAAATCACAAGCGAATTACATATGAATTACATATGATTCACATGTAAATCACAAGTGAATTACATGTGATTCTCATGTAAATCACAAGTGAATCACATATGAATCACATCTATATGCACACATGCATTTTCTGTAAGTGTTCTTCGTTAATTATTTTTTTAAAATTTTCTTGTGAATTTCACATTTAAATCTTAAAAGATACAATCACATGTGAATATCACATTATAAAATCACATGTGAATCTTACATGATATATACATGTGCGTGTTCTTGCATTAATCAATTTTTTTTTATTTTCTTGTAGGTTTTGAAGAATTTTTGGAAAATATTGAAGAGGTGAAAAGTGATAAATTGAAGAAAATATGGAAATCTTGATATGAAGAAATGATAACACTGTGAATCTTTGTATTTTTTTATATTTTATTTTGTATCGAATAAAATACTTGTATTATGTTTATAGATTGATTAATAAAAATGAGATTTTTTATAATTACTTACGAATATTATAGTATAAGAAATATGCATATATGCATTTGAAAAAATATGCATATATGCATCTAAAACGTTGATTTTTTTGTTAAAAAAATGCAGTTTTGAAAAAAAATTGAACTTTTTTATAAAAATCGCAGTTTTTTTTTTTTTTTGAAAAAAATGCAGTTTTTCTGAAAAAAAAATGCAGTTTTTTTGAAAAAAAAATACAGTTTTTTTGAAAAAAAAGATGCAGTTTTTTAAAAAATATTTTTTTCATTTTTTTTTTTGAAAAATTCATGTTTTTTGAAACTTTGAGTTATCAACCGATCTCAACCCTATATATATATATATATATATATATATATATATATATATATATATATATATATATATATAATTGAATAACAAGCAATTTACGTTTGGTTTGATTGGATACGAAGTTTGCAAATATTGTTTATAAGCAGATAATTAGGAATAAGATATATAATCTGCTATATAATAAGATAATTAGAAATAAAATATATAATCTGTTATATAAAAAAAGATAAAAAGATATATAATAGGTATATTTATTGTTATATTCTTTTGTAGGTGAATAAGTGGTAAACTTCTTTTGACCATCCCACATTGCTTGATATACAAAATGTTTATGAGTTCTCTTGTCTACAAAGATAGTGTACGTCCCAGATAGTCCGGTGGTAAGAAAAATGTTAGCTTCCTTACTTAATAAAATAAGAGGAAGCTCCCTCGTTTCTTACAAGTTTCACAAATAGTCCAGTGTCAACTGTGCTGCTTTGAAAATGCTTGATCTCGAGTTTAATGTGTTTAATCAAAAACCTAGTTTATAAAAAAAAATTGAACTAAATCTGTTAAACAATAAATCAGATGGTTTATTGCTTGAACTGGTTTGATATTATTGATTATTGATTTTAACTAGTTACAAGAATTTTGAAACCGGGTATCCGATAACGGAACCGGTACCGGCGGTTCCAAGACCGGTTCCAAAATTCAAAGAACCGGTGTAACCGGTTCCGGTTCCAACATTTTAAGAACCGCCGGTTCCGGTTCCGGTTCCATACAATTAGGACGGGTACCCGCTTTTGCTCACCCCTAGGGTTGGATATAGGTGTAGGTGTGGATAAGAACGGTTTTTGGGTGAATGTGTAGGAGGGGACGAGGAAGTAAAAGAATGCAAGAAAGAAATAAAGGAGCAACATATGACGTAATATTTAAATCTAGAGAAAGATTTAACAAATAGGTTGACAAAATTCTTTAATGGACAATAATTAAATACAATCATTAACCACAAAATCACAACCGAAAAACTATGAATAAAATTATCTTTAATGCAGGTTTTGTAAATGAAAATCTAATAAATATTCAGTTAAAAAAATGCAAAAAAATCGTTGAACTTTTCTAATCAACCGATAATGCATTCCTACCCTTACACAAGTTCATCTCA